ACTGCTGCTGCCACTGCTGCTGCTCCCCTTGCGCGGACGCTCCGAAGAGAGGGGAGAGATCGCGCTGCAGTGCGTCCACGGTTCGCAGCCCAGCCGCTGCGCCCACAGCCCTCATCCTCACACAGCGCCCAGGCTTCTGACGCGTCTCGCATTCTAACGCACTACATATTCTGTGCGCCCACTTCTCTCATTGTCTGCAACATCAATGTTGGCCAGGATGGCGTAATCTCTCAAAATCCAAAACACATTACGACGCTGCTGCCTTCCATTTGTACCTGGCTTGGGCTTGGTCTTTCCAGCACGTGTCAAAAGTTTGAAGATCATCTTCCCACCAGAACCGGTGTGCGCAACGTCGCCTTTTGGGCATGTTGCCAACCAGAACTAGCAGCACGCATCATTCCGCATCTCTCCACCCGACGGACTTCCTGCACAACCTGTCATTGCACATTCTCGCGATCTGACCAGCCTAATGCCACTCTGACTGAACGTATGTGTGTTCTCATATTATGATGTTGTGTCATGCTGCTTCCACGATTGCGGCCCCTGTGGAGCGAATTACCCACGCAACCCACTCCTCGTCTGGGCGTCGTCTGACTCCAATGACACTCCGCAACATGTCGTTTTGTACAGATGGCAGCTTCCGTCTTTCTCTCTGCGTGGGGAGCCACGACTCGCAGCACCAAAGAGCGCTCCGAGAGACGCAGGCGTCAAAGAGACGATGGCGTTTCTTCAGTTGCCCCCGCCTGGGGTTGTTGAGCAGCGGCCATCACTGATGAAACTTGGCCCGCCCTGCTTTGATCCGAGCTGAGACCTCCTTGCTCGTCTGGGCTGGCAACGATCTGAGCGCCCAATAGTTTGAACCCAACAGTAGGTGGGACTATACAGTCGGGGTGCCGAAGAAGGAACCCTTTTCGTTGAGGAGGGGCTCGGTGTTCCTTGATTGTTCAACAGTTTGCTTCAGGTTTTCCTGAGGCTTTCCAGGGGAAATCGAAGTTCAACTCATGGGAAAAAGGGACCTCGTTTCTTGTTTAGGGCTCCTTTGGTCAACGCTCCGACTGTAGAGAACAGCTGCGCCTGCGCTTCCAGGCTCTGTCTCGGGTCCCCACTATTGTGCTGAAAGGCGCTGCGTTCAGACGCAGGCCGCGGGCGCCCGGAGCGGCGGCTGCACCCTGCGAGCACTTCCTGCAGTGCCTCGGCAGACTTTGCAGTCAGAGTCGTGCCGTCAGCAAACATCACGCGAACGATGCGGTCGCTCCCTCCCTGATGGTCCCCAGGACTGTGCCAAGCGATCTCTGCTCCCACTTCTCTCGCAATCCTCGGAACGCTAGCGGCGTGGCACTGTTGAGCAGTCGCGGGGAAGTCGGGCCACCTTGCCGGACCCCTCTCTTGATTTGGAACACTTTGCTTGAGATTCTCGCATCAACTTGCACGTGGCCTTACATACTGCCATATAGTCGTTGCAATGTGCATCTGCTTTTACTTTGCACAACGGCCTCTTCAAGGGCATGGAACACTGCAGGGTTTCATATTCTGTCGAACGCCTTCTACAGAAGCCATCCACACTTCTTCGCCCCATTATTCCGCCTTCTCTGTGATGGCGCGGAGCGTGTGTACGACCTCCGAACAACAATATCCAGAGCGGAATCCTGATTGTTCCGGCAATTGTTCCACCTCCAGAATTCAATTCTTTCTGCTGGCCAACACCGGCGATATCAGTTTGTACATGACAGGCAGGATGCTTATCGGCTGGTAAGTTTCTGGAAGGTTGGCATCGCCTTTTTGTACGGTATGATAACCTTTTTTGTTAACCAGCTCCTCGGCACTGCTTGCTTGTAGCTGACGATATTTGTGAATATGTCAGCCATTATCTCGATCAGACCTTGGTGCCTGCTCTGCAACATGTCAGCAACGACCCCATCCTCTGCGCATGCATGTTTTGCCTTTCTTCATTTTCTTGAACACGTCTGTGAGCTCCTTCATGGTGATGGGCTCGGTCTCTTCACCATCCCACTGCTCTGCCACTTCCCGTTCTTCCTCAGGCGATCTACACATCCTCGTAAACATCAGCGACAACATTTGGAGAAAGAGGAAGAGGAGGACGAGGAGGCGGAGGAGGAGGAGGATCGAACAACAAAAAACTGCAGACACAGAAGCTTTCGGAGATCCGCACGGGTTTCATGTGTCGGCGCTGCCTTCGCCCCCCCCTGGTGGCGCCTCTGGCGCCGCCCCTGGCGGGCTCCGCGCGCCAGGGAAGGGGGTTCCAGCGCCGACCCACGAAATCCGCGCGGACATACGAAAACTCACGCTTTTGACCATGGTTTCTTCCCCTGGAAGGGGGCAGGGCAGGAGGGGAACAGGAGGAGGATGAGGAGGATGAGGACGAGGACGAGGAGGACGAGGAGGAGGAGGAAGAGGACGAAGAGGAGGAGGATGAGGAGGAGGAGGAGGACGAGGAGGAGGAGGAGCAGGAGGAGGAGGAGCAGGAGGAGGAGGGGGAGGAGGAGGAGAAAGGGGGAGGGGGGGGGGGAGGGGAGGAGGATGAGGAGGAGGAGGATGAGGGGAGGAAGAGGGAGGAAGAGAAAGGGAGGGAGAGACGGAGGAAGGGGAGAGAGGGAAGGAGGGAGGGAGAAAGGGATGGAGGCATGGAGGGGGGAGGAGGGAGGGAGGAAGAGGGAGTGAGGAAGAGAGAGGAGTAGGGAGGAGGGAGGAGGAGGGAGGAGGGAGGAGGGAAAAGGGAGGAGGGATGAGGGAGGAGGGAGGAGGGATAATGATGATGATGAGGAGGAGGATGAGGAGGAGGAATAGGAGTCGGAAGAGAAAGCTGAGGCAGGGGGGAGCAGAGGATCGGCAGAGAAAGATGCGGAGCGCAATGATGATGATGCTGATGATGATTATGATGATTATGATGATGATGATGATGATGATGATGATGATGATGATGATGATGATGATGATGATACTGATGATGATGCTGATGATGATGCTGATGATGATGCTGATGCTGATGATGATGATGATGATGATGATGCTGATGATGATGATGCTGATGATGATGAGGATGAGGATGATGATGATGATGCTGCTGCTGATGATGATGCTGATGATGCTGCTGCTGATGATGCTGCTGATTATGATGATGAGGAGGATGATGAGGATGATGATGAGGAGGATGTGGATGATGATGATGATGATGATGATGATGATGATGATGATGATGATGATGATGATGATGATGAGGATGAGGATGAGGATGATGCTGATGATGCTGATGATGCTGAGGATGATGCTGATGATGCTGATGACGATGACGATGACGATAACGATGACGATTATGATGATGATGATGATGATGATGATGCTGATGCTGATGATGATGATGATGATGATGATGATGATGATGATGCTGATGCTGCTGATGATGATGATGATGGTGGTGGTGATGCTGATGCTGATGCTGATGCTGATGCTGATGCTGATGCTGATGATGATGATGCTGCTGCTGATGATGATGATGATGATGATGCTGACGATGATGACGATGCTGATGATTATGCTGATTATGCTGATTATGCTGATGCTGCTGGTGATAATGCTGCTGCTGATACTGATACTGATTAGGATGATGATGCTGATGATCATGATGATGCTGATACTGATACTGATGCTGATGCTGCTGCTGCTGCTGCTGCTGATGATGATGATGATGATGATGATGATGATGATGATGATGATGATGATGATGATGATGATGATGATGATGATGATGATGATGATGATGATGTGGAGGAGGAGGAGGAGGAGGAGGATGAGGAGGAGGAGGACGAGGTATGCGAGGATGAGGAACAGGAGGAGAAGGCAGAGGGTGAGCAGGGGGAGGGGCGGGAGCAGGATGGGGCATCCATGGAGAGCACTCGCGGGAAGTGGTTTTGGGGGGAGCAGCGTCGGGCGGGCGTGCCCAGGAGAGATCGGGAAGGGGAGGGCGCTAGGATGATCGAGGGCGCCAACATCAACCGGTCCTTGCTCGCCCTTGGAAACTGCATCACGGCGCTCAGCTCGTCCGTGTCTTTTGTGCCCTACCGGGACTCCAAGATGACGCGGTTGCTGAAGGATTCGCTGGGCGGAAACTGCCGCACAGTCATGATCGCGAATCTGAGCCCTCATCATCTCCACTACGAAGACACCCACAACACCCTGAAGTACGCCAACCGCGCAAAGAACATCAAGACGAAGACGGTGCGCAATGTGGTGCGGGTCAGCAGCCACGTCTCCAAATACAACGACATCATCAAGGACCTCAAGGGTGAGATCGCGGACCTCCAGGCTCGACTACACGAAAGGGTGATTCGCCTGAGTGCCCGTTGGTGCGGGCCCACAGGGGCCCCCGTTCGCTGAATGCGATGCGATTGCAGCGGCTTGCGCTTGGGTTTGGCCACGCAGCGAGCCCCCAATGCCGCTCACCATCGGTCACCCTTGCCTAGCCCTGAGATCCGACGTTGCGAAAACAATGCTTCCCCTAGGAAATTTCACGACCAGAGCTCTGGGCCCCATCTTTTTGCTGCATGTGTCCAACCTGGCAATGTCGCCCGCTGCGAAAATTTGCAATGCCCGGATCCCAGGGTCCTGCCTATCACTACCCACCAAACCACCCCAACCCAACCCGAAGGCCTCAAATTGCCTTCCAATTCCAATGGGAGGGTCGAGGAACGTTGGAAAAACACATGGAACCCGTACCCCGCCCAACCCGAAATTCAGGTCAAATTCGGGTCTTCGGGTTGGGTTGGGGTAGGTAGTCTGCCTAGGGTCACTCATGCGTGTAGCCGACAGGCGAAGCTAACCACCCCGAACGACGTGGCCAAGTGCGTGCGGTACGACCCGAGCATGTTCGCCGGGGGCGGGCCCGGGGCAGGGCGAGAGGCGGTGCACGTGCAGAGCGCGAAGTGGAAGCAGGACCTCGTCAGGGGCAACCCAGAGGGGGGATACGCTCAGGGGAGGAGGAGGAGGAGGAGGAGGAGGAGGAGGAGGAGGAGGAGGAGGAGGAGGGAAGAGGACTGCGAGGAGGAGGAGGAGGAGGAGGTGGAGGAGGAGGAGGAGGAGCAGGAGCAGGAGGAAGGCGAAGGCCGTTTGTGGGAAATTCATGTCCCCCGCACGCGAGCGGAGGGCGGCTTCCGCCCGCTGGCGCCCGCGCGGCCTGGCGGGCGCCGGCAGCCAGCAGCCATGAGGGAGCAACGGCCTCGGCACGGCGCGCTCCTCCAGCTTGCGCGGCCGATTCGTGTGACAGGCGCCCACCTCGCCCGCCATGCCGAGCAGAAGGCGGCCTGGCAGCCGGCAGAAGCCGAGCTGCGTGAGCAGAAGGGGTGCGACGACGAGAGCTGCAGGCAAGGCTTCGAGAATCGCGGAGCTGGTGGACTCATCAGAGGCGGCGCGTCAAGAACGGCAGCAGTGACAGTAGCAGTGGCCGCACCAAGACTGGTAGCAGTGGCAGCACAAAGAAACGATCTCTGGGCAACGCTGGATGCCAGCCTGGGGAGAATCCACATGCCAGAACTAGAGCGTTCAAAAAATGACTGCAGAACCAGCGCGTGCGAGAAGCGGAGAGCATCCATTTTCCAGAACCCGAACGTGCCAGATACCAGTGGCAGAAACCAAATGTCAGCAGCTACGTGCGTGTGCACATCGGTGAGAAATCCGGCAGTGCCAGCAGCCCTCAGCTACATGTGTGTTCCCGTCCGTGCGAGAAAAGTCGGCCGTGGCAGCTTGCGGAAGAGTGAGAGACAGTCGCCAAACGTTCTCTGCCACAGGCGTGGGACCGCACGCGCGAGAAGAGGCGGCGGTGCCAGCGGGCAAAACCCAGACGTCATCAGCTACAGCCGTGTGTGCGTGCGTGCGATATGGCAGGGTGAGCAGCGGCAGCGGTCAATGGCCAAGGCAACAAACACTAGACGCCATCAGCTACAGGCGCGGGCCCGCATGTGCGAGACGACCTGGCAGTGGCAACGGTCAGTGGCCAGAGTGACAGAAACTAAACGTCACCAACCACATGCGCGAGCCCGTGTGTGTGTGTGGTGTGTGTGTGTGTATGTGCGCGCTCGCGTGCGTGCTTGCTTGCGTGCGTGTGTGTGTGTGTGTGTGGCTGTCTGTGTCTGTGTGTGCGAGGGGAGCTCGCAGTGTCGGACGCCGACTCCTTCGAGATGACCAAACGTGCGCGCGAGGCCGTCCTCCCGAGGCGCCAGACAAGCGCACGCCGGCTGAGAACAGGAGAGCCTGCAGTGTCTGCAAACGGCGGCGAGGAAGAGGAGGTGGAGGATGTGAACGAAGGGGGGCAAGACGAGTCTTTTTGTTGCGAGGGGAGTTCGCGGCCCCGCCAGCATATCAGTCCGTGTATCGCTTTTGATAGACGTTCTACATTTTGCTTGCCCATGTCGGGCAGGGTTGGCTACTTCTCTCGTGACTGTATTGTGTGCAAGGCCTGCGGTTGCCGTCGGAATCCCTCACGCTACAAGTGGTGCTATGCATGCGGAACGGACCTGCGCCATGAGGCCGAGACAGCCCCGCCAAAGGCATCAGGTGTTTGGACTTACGCAGACAAGGGGAAAGGCTGGGGAGCCTGGTCCTGGCACCCCAAAAGCAGTGGCAACACCAACCGCGTCAAAAAGGGATGGGGGTACAGGCCGCCCGGTGCATTAGCTTGGCGTTGCCGAATGCTTTCGCCAGCTCATCGATGGCGCATGTTCCAAGCTCGAACCATTGGGTGAGGAGGATATCGGTTTACTGCAGAAGCTCACCAATGTTAGACAGGCCAGAAATCAATCACTCCCCGCAAGTGGCTTGGCACGCCGTGCCGAGACGTCTGTGCAGAAACAGGAGGATCAGCTTCAGGGCCTCAGGGAACGGATTGCCGAATTTGATCAAAACAGTGCAACGTTGCAGGAACGCATGACAGACGACATGGCCGCGCGTGCACGGCGATGATTTGAAAGTTTTGTGGGTGCCGTTTCTTCTTTGCGTCGATCTGGCGCCGCTTGGTCCTCGTTAGCATCGGGGCTCAAACTGAAAGGCAGGGGGTTGTCGCCCGATGGCCTTCACGCCCTCCCAGGCCGCGATAGTTGTTGTCCGTGGTGACCCCCTCGCAGCGGGGCGTCGCGGGCTCGGCGGCGAAGCGGGTGGGCTCTCGCCGAGCTGCCTGAGGCGCCGCCCTGGGAGGCCGCTTGCCGCTGCGTCTGCGAGACGGCGCCTTCGCCGCCCAGCCCGCCGCCCTCGCCGTTGCCGGCAGGGCTGGCCTTCAAGGCGGCGCCGCCGCCGTTCGCAGCCGCTCCCGTCTGGGCGCACCTGGCGACACCTGACGGCGCGCCGCCGGTCGCCGCGGTAGGGCTCGGCCCGTTCGAGCTGTCGGCGCCGCTCGCCCGCTGGTGCCAGCGGGGGCGCCGCGCGTTGCCAGTGGCGGCCACGCCCGGCCGCCGCGTGCTGATCAGTGGAGGGCGGGTGGCTTCCGGGGGCGCAGTTGCTCGCGTCGTTCGCCGATGGCCCAGGTTTCCGCCGCGAGACGGGTGCTGGTCTGGCCGTGCCATGAGAGCTCTTGGATCGCCGTGGCCCCGGGCGGCCATCTGTACCCTGCCACTGAGGCCCTGGGTGGAGCTCCCTCCCTACGGGGGCCACGGAACGTGTGAGAGGTGCGACGACACAGAAAGGCGGAGGGCATACAGTCAACCCGCATAATAAGGATGGGCAACCTTACCAAGGATACCCTTGCATCCTTGTTCCTTCGGCCCATCCTTGGCCACTTTCTCTGGCCGTGCCCCGCTCGAGAAGCGTCGAGGTGGCCCTCCGAGGCCCTTGCATCCTTATCGCGCATACTTACCATACGGGTTGACTGTACATATGCAGGGATGGGAGGATGGAGGGGGAGGGGAGGAAAGGAGGAGTAGTGGACGCGGGGATTGGCTCTGTCAAGCGAGGACCCAACACCATAGGATGGTTGCGAATCATATCGTCGGGTGCCTTGGACTCCACCTCGGGCGTTCAAGGTTGAGCGCCGCCAGTTACCGTGAGTCGGCCAACAAAACGATCTGGTGCTCGAGATGCCGCCGATCGTTGAAGGTTGAACGGTCCACGCGGTGTCCGAAGCCAGTGCCGGGGACGTCACGACACGAGCCTGTCGTACGCCGATCCTGGCGAGGCCCATCTTGGGCAACGCTCTCCTAACTTGGTGAGGCGGGCATACAGCAGGCATGTCATATAAGACACCATACTGTCATCAGGGGCAACGTTAGGGGGGATAGGCTCTGGGGGGATGCATCGATACCGAATCGCAGATGAATCGCCGATAGGGGCCTGATAGCCCACCCTTCCCAGGACCTTTTGGTTTGGCTATCGGGGGCTAATCGCCGATCTATCGGCGATGTCTCGCCGATGTTTTTCATGTCGATGGCCCCCCTCTGAGCAAGTCGCACCTTACCGTTCCCCCTCAAAGTCCTTCATTCCCTCGCGGTCCTGGGGGCCCACAGAGGAGTTCTGGTGGCGGGGTTTCTTACAGCATGCGTCTGCACGGCATGCACCCCTCCTGGGCGCAGTGCTGGCCCAGCCGGAGTCGGGGCAGGCGCGCAGCCGGCGACCCCCCCCCCCCCGGAGGAGCTGATGCAGAACTTCGAGGAGCGCGTGCGCCTCAAGCGGCGCCTGATCGACCTCGCCCACGTGGCGCAGACCCACATGGTCAAGAAGAGTCACGCCCAGGTCTCGGGAAGCGAGCCGCGGTATGAGCATCGTTCTTCGGAGCTGCGCGCGGTTTTCTCGGAGCGGCGCTGGGGCCCCCTGGCGGTGCCTCCAGCGCCGGCCCTGGCGCACTCCGCGCGACAGGGGGGGCCAGCGCCGATCCAAGAAACCCGCGCGGATCTGAGAGTTTATGTTTACACAGCCTCCTCGAAGGTCGGCATCTCCCAGTGGGAGTCGGCCCAGTTCGGTGGGGGGTCGCCAACCAGCCAGATGCCCCAGCCGATCCAAGGCCTTCACTCGCTGCTGCGGAACATCAAGACAGAGATGGCGCACACCGAGGAGACGACGCAGGGCCTGGAGGACATGCTCGTGGAGAACCAGCGGAAATTCGAGAAGTTGCAAGCCGAGCTCCCGACGCGCGTCCAGAACAAGGACATGCGCGCCTTCCTGGGCCTCGTGTCGAGGATCCACGTGCTGGAGGTGGAGAATATGGACACGCAGGAGATGAACGCCGTGACCACGCCTCTGATACACCAGAAGGAGACGGCAGCAGGCATAGGTCTGCATGCGTGATGTCGTGTGGCCACGCAGCGTGAACTCGGCAGGTTCGCGCCTCCGCGACGCGGCGGCGACGCTGGCGCGGGCGCTCAAGGTTGCACGCCCTCAGAGGAGCCTCGGGCCCGGGGACGTACAGAAGCAGGGCTGGACCTAAACGGTGTTTTGGCGATTCCGTGGGCTGTTTTCGTTTCGGTTTCGTTTTGCGGTAAAGGCGGACTGAAGCCAAAACGAGGGAAGACGAAAGCAAAACGAAAACGAAAAACACCGTTTAGGTTCAGCCCTGACAGAAAGCAGCCCATGGCACGAACTCCATTCGAAACGTGGTGTTGCCGGCCTTTCGCGACTTCCAGCAGCCAAGATCCTTCAACATCGGCCAGCTCGCGCAGTGTCAGAGACCGCGGCCCACGCCGTCAAGGCAGGAACCTTCTGGGCCCACAGCCCTCTGATGGGCTAGGTCGTCGTTTGCAGATGTGCTCCTCAACGCCCAGAGCCAGCAGCTCATGGCAGGGTGGCCCCATCGTTGCCTTCAGATGTGCCCTCGAACGCACTGTCCGAGGCCTGTTGCAGGGTGTCCTGTCTGGCGAGGCAGTCCGCGATACCTCCCGCCGGAGATTGGAGAGGTCTCGAGCGGGACGCCGGGGAGTACCGGCGCCACACCATCACACGAGGATCGGGCGCCGGGTGGCGGGGGGGGCAACGAACGGTTTGGGGTTTGCGAAAGGTGCCCCTGGCCCAGGGTGTCGCCAGATGTCGTGGGAGCCCCTGGGGCCCTCTAGGCCCGGTGAGGGGTGCTCCTCTAGGCCCTCTGGAGGCCCTCTAGGCCCTCTGGAGGCCCTCTAGGCCCTCTGGGAGCCCCTGGGGCCCTCTAGGCTCTCTGGAGGCCGTGGGGGCCTCGTGGGAACTCCTGGGGGCACCTTGGGCCAGGAGCACGTCCGGCGACACCCGAACGGCGGGTCATAATTAGAGGGGTGCAGGAAAGTGGCACCAGAGGGGCCCCGAGATCGAGAAGACGCAAACACGGACTGCGCGAGGCCTGTGGATTGGCGACTGGTCCCGTTCCCGTGCAGGATCGGCGCGCTTCGTCGCCGAACCGGACGGCCTTGGCCTCGTCCTTCGCCCCGCGCCCGCGCGCCAGATCCACGGATATCCACAGCCCAGGAAGCATGCGCCCAGTGAAGCGGCTCGTATGTCTTGAGGAAGAAGGACGGAGGAGGGTGGATGGAGGAGGAGGAGGAGGAGGAGGAGGAGGAGGAGGAGGAGGAGGAAGAAGGACGGTGGAGGGAGGGGCCCAAGCGGCGCTGGAGAGGTGGTGCCTTGACGCCTCGTTTGCGGCCGGTTTGTGCCGTGTCGGCGCGGCGGCGGTCCCGGCGGTTGAGCGCCGGCAATGGCCCAAAGTCGGCCGACGTCGAAGGATCTGCGTCATCGGGAAGCCGCCATCTCTCGAGGCTGGACGATCCACGCGGTGTCAGGCAGCAACGTGCCAGTCGTCACGACACGAACCTGCTGCGCCCGTGCCGTGGGACCTCGCGTGGCTTCGCCGGATTTCGCTGGGCCCCGTCGCAGCCTTCCAGGGCGAAGGCGGAGCGCCAGCGTTCCCTCAGATCTCGGGCATCGCACAGAGAATGGGACAGCGGGCTTTCCGTCGTCTTCCGCCTCCGCGAGGCCGCGTCCCAGCCCCAGGACCGCCGCGAGCGGCGGACGTGATTATCCACACGCGCGCCCTCGCAGTCTGGATTCCGGGGTGCGATCCCGCGGATGCGCGGTCGCACGGGTACGTTTCGCGCTGGGCATCCGCGAACATTCGCCCCGTCTTCGCGGGGTCGTGGCCCAGCCCGCGAGGCCGCGGGTGCGGATATGTTCTGCGACCCGACCGAAACCAGCGACCCATGGCAGTGTGGCCCTGTCGTTGCCCGCAGATGTGCCCTCGAAAGCACTGCCCGAGGCTCGTTCTTTGGTGTCCTGTCAGAGCAGGGAGGGGGGACACCACCAGTAGGGCCACCCCTGGCGAGGCGGTCCGCGATGCCCCCCGCCGGAGATTGGAGATGTCCCGAGCGGGACGCCGAGGAACACCAGCGCCACACCATCTCGAGGTGCGTTCGCCGGCCCGCGAGGCTGCGGATGCGGTCATGCTCCGCGCCCACGAGACCGGCAGACGACGGCTCAGCACGAAAAGCCGGTGCTTGGGAAGAGGTCGAGAGCCCCCGGGCCACCCCCGCTTCGCCAGCAAGCATGCGTCGCCGGTGGTGGCAGGTGGATGAGTGCCTGCGGCATCCCACCGCCTGGCTCTTCAGCGCCCTGTGGCTGGCTGCTCAAGTTGCGCCTCTCTGCCTGGCCGTCGCCGCCTACGATCCGACTCGATGCGATTCAATTCGCCGGCGGGGGCCGCGGTTCCGATTCCATTCCAATCGTTTCGATTCCTTGGCATCGGCCAGGGCCGGACTTCGATTCGATTCGGCACGGTTCGCTAGCGATTCGATGCGTGCCACCCCGCACTTCTGCTTCCTTGCGGCGGCTGCAGGGCCAGTCACAGCTGGCCTGCCTGCACTTCGCCCAGCGGGCGCGTCTCCTCACGAGTGCAGCGCCCCCGCCTCGTGTGTCCCGAGGCCCACTCCGCCAAAGACAGCTCCAGCTACGCAGGGGGGAGCGTCCCGCCCCCTCCCCGACCAGACGAAACCAGCTCCAGCCAAGAGTGTCCCGGATTCCAGCTGCAATCCTGGAAGTTCCAGGCAGTTGCCATCCTCCCTAAGGGTGGTTTTGCGGTAGTGTTGAGGTGGTCTTCGGGGGTGTCATGATGCTTTTTCGGCGGGTCAGCTTTTGGAGTCCTCCAGGATGGGAGGGAGGGCGGGAGAAGGAGGAGCAGGAGCAGGAGCAGGAGGAGGAGGAGGAGGAGGGGAGGAGGAGGAGGAGGAGGAGGGAGGGGGCGGGGGAGGGCGAGGGGGCGAGGAGGATGCGAAGGAGAAGGATGAGGAGCAGGAGCGGGAGGAGGAGGAGGAGGAGTTTGGAGGAAGAGGAGGAGGAGCAGCAGGAGGAGGAGGAGGAGGAGAAGGAGGAGAGGAGTCAAGGAGTGAGAAGCAGGAGGAGGGAGGAGGAATAATGGTGGAAGGGAGGGAGGGAGGGAGGGAGGGAGGGAGGTAACAGGAGAAGGGCGATTCTGATGATGATGATGATGATGATGATGATGATGATGATGATGATGGTGGTGGTGGTGGTGGTGGTGGTGATGATGATGATGATGATGATGATGATGATGATGATGGTGGTGGTGGTGGTGGTGGTGGTGGTGGTGATGATGATGATGATGATGATGATGATGGTGGTGGTGGTGGTGGTGGTGGTGATGATGATGATGATGATGATGATGATGATGATGATGATGATGACGACGATGATGATGATGATGATGATGATGCTGATGATGATGATGACGATGATGATGCTGATATTGATGCTGCTGATGATGCTGATTATGATGTTGACGATGATGATGACGATGATGATGATGATGATGATGATGATGATGATGATCATGATGATGATCATGATGATGATGATGATGATGATGATGATGATGATGAGGATGATGAGGATGCTGACAATGATGATGCTGATGATGATGCTGATGATTATGATGATGATGCTGATGATGATGCTGATGCTGATTATGATGCTGATGCTGATGCTGATGATGCTGATGATGCTGCTGCTGATGATGATGATGATGATGATGATGAGGATGCTGACGATGATGATCATGATGATGATGATGCTGATGCTGATGATGATTATGATGATGACGACTTTGACGATATGATGATGCTGATGATGCTGCTGCTGATGATGCTGATGCTGATGCTGATGCTGATGCTGATGCTGCTGCTGATGATGATGACGATGCTTATGCTGATGCTGATGCTGCTGATGATGATGCTGCTGCTGCTGATGATGATGATGATGCTTCCCTCCAAGCTCCCTCTTCATAGGCCCCTACATTTCCACTGGGGGAACCATTCTCGAGGAGCTCACCATCTGGGTCGAGTGCAGCTATTTCGAGAGGCGGCCGCTCAAGGGCGCCCAGAACGCCATGGACTCCAGACGTGTTTTCAAGTGGAAACACCGGAAGGGATCGGGCGGCGGGGCCGCTAGGATCAACCGGCGCCGCGCGGCGCTGAGAGGCGCCCGCGCCGCGGGCGCCGGGGCTCTCGAGACGTTCGCCGGGGACAGCGAAGCGGGCGCATGCTGTCCTTGGAGGCGGTGCGTCGCCCAGACTGGGCGCGCGTCGCCATGGACGTTGAGAAGGCGTTCTTGCGGGGCATGACTCCTTCCGAGACGCAGAGGCAGGGCGGCGCACCCCGCGAGGTGAACTTCAGTTTGCCTCCCAGAAGTGCAGCTATCCTCAGGCATGCGCCAGGGTGCGAGTCTTTCTACGTGGGCGAGCGCATCGACGCCTTGATCCCCGTCGGGCACGTAGACCTGGCTGGCCAAGGCGAAGGCCGACGAGCCAGCCCGAGGTCAACTTCCAGACCTCTTTGTCTCCCTCCTCCGAGCGGCAGCATACGCTGTGGTGCTCGCGCGGCGCCGCGTCGCCTCGCGCGTCGTCGCGCTGGAGTGGCCGAGAGAACAATCAGCTCATCCGACGCGCGACGCAGCTTAACTCAGTCGTTTTGGCCACGCCGAAGGTCAAGGTGCACGTCGCCTTCCCAGCCATGGAGCGCGCCAGACGACCGCGCGCGCGGCGACGAGTCGTTCAAGAGGGAGGACGAGATAGGTTACGGCATGAGAGAAGCCGCATCCATGCGCGTGGGCAAGTGTCGCAGTACCGGCAAACAGGCATGCCGCGCGCTCGACGCTTTGAGCCGATCGCACAAGCTGGTGCGCCGATCATCATTACCTAACAGCGAAGACTGATAGGTTTCTAGTTGACTCAAAAGAGCTCACAGATCACTCCACAGGGGGGTCCGGGCAGGTGTTGGGAGTTGCCGGGCGGGTTGTGTCCACCTCGTTTTTCACCAACAGTCACACACTTCGTGCTCTTCGAGTTCCCAGAACTCCATTCCCAGGCTCATTTTGAATAACCGGATGCAACAGTCACACACTTCGTGCTCTTCGAGATCCCAGAACGCCATTCCCGGGCCACATTTAGAATAACCGGATGCAACAGTCACACACTTCGTGCTCTTCGAGTTCCCAGAACGCCATTCCCGGGCCACATTTGGATGCCCGGATGCAACAGTACACACTTCGTGCTCTTCGAGTTCCCAGAACTCCATTCCCGGGCCACATTTTGGATGCCCGGAGCCAACTGTAGGCCACTTCGTGCTCTTCGAGTTCCCAGAACTCCATTCCCGGGCCACATTTTGAATGCCCGGAGCCAACTGTAGGCCACTTCGTGCTCTTCGAGTTCCCAGAACTCCATTCCCGGGCCACATTTTGAATGCCCGTAGCCAACTGTAGGCAACTTCGTGCTCTTCGACTTCCCAGAACTCCCATTCCTGGGCCACATTTTCAGCAGGGGCAAGAGCACGACGAGGAGGAGGACGAGCAAGACCAGGAGGACGAGGACGAGCAGGAGCAGGACGAGGAGCAGGAGGAGCAGGAGAAGAAGGACGAGCAGGAGGAGGAGGAGGACGAGCAGGAGGAGGAGGACGACCAGGAGGAGGAGGACGACCAGGAAGAGGAGGAGGAGGAGGAGGAGGGGGAGGAGGAGGAGGAGGAGGAGGAGGAGGAGGAGGAGGAGGAGGAGGAGGAGGAGGAGGAGGAGGAGAGAGGAGGAGGAGGAGGAGGAGGACGAGGAGGAGGAGGAGGAGGAGGGAGGAGGAGAGGTACCAGGAGGAGGAGAACGAGGACCACCAGGAGGAGGAGGAGGAGGAGGAGGAGGAGGAGGAGGAGGAGGAGGAGGAGAGAACACCAGGAGGAGGAGGACGAGCAAGACGAGGAGGACGAGAACGAGGACGACCAGGAAGAGGAGGAGGAGGAGGAGGAGGGGAGGGGGAGGACTACCAGGAGGAGGAGGAGGAGGAGGAGGAGGAGGAGGAAGAGGAGGAGGAGGACGAGGAGGAGGAGGAGGAGGAGGACGAGGAGGAGGAGGGGGGGGAGAGCACCAGGAGGAGGAGAACGAGGACCACCAGGAGGAGGAGGAGGAGGAGGAGGAGGAGGAGGAGGAGGAGGAGAGAGCACCAGGAGGAGGAGGACGAGCAAGACGAGGAGGACGAGAACCAGGACGAGCAGGAGGAAGAGGAGGAGGAGGAGGAGGAGGAGGAGGAGGAGGAGCAGGAGAGAGGAGGAGGAGGAGGAGGAGGAGGCAGGCTGAGGCTGAGGCTGTGACTGCGACTGCCGTTGCCGCTGCGACTGTCATCGCGAATGCGACTACGACTGCGAGAACAGCAGAATTCGACAACTGGATTTTCATCTGAGTCTTAAGGGGAATGCTTTCAGATATGCTTCTACACATCGCTGTTAGGTTGCTTTGCCGGGATAATTTGACTCAGAGCTGCCCGCAGCATGCGGGGTAGCCGACGGCCTACAGGCGCAGCTCCCGGCACTCCACGAGACGGCATGCGGGCCCGCCATAGCCGATGAGATCAGGAGGTTGAGGGGGGAAGGAGTCTGCGCCATGCCAGCCGAGCTCGTCGTATACGGCGCGTTCGTCTTCTGAGCCATGGCCATGCAATTTGTTTGACCTCCCCCGGAGAACAGCATGGCAAGCCACCTGTGGTGATTATCAGACCAGCTCCGCACCAATTACATCGATGGCGCGTTTTGGTGCGGCACTCGAGACATGAGGGCCTGTTCCATGACGAATAGGAGCATCGGTCGTGAATCCATCTTCAACGTCGTGGACGGGAAGCTCAGCTGTGACCGCAGCGCCGTCAGGTTGAGTGGGGAACGGTACAAGAACACAGCGCCGAGCTCCTGTCAATGTCACATCACCCACGAGGTGAAAAGGCGACCAGAATGACTAAGTCATCGGTTTACCCAATACCACGGGCAACGACGACCCGACGACGAAGGACGAGGCAGACGCTCGCATCTCGCGAGCTACGTTTTCGAACGCGGCGTAGTGACGCATGCATGTGAGAGAATTGCTCCTGTAAGTTAGGATATTGGAACAACAGGCCATCGAACATAAACCATACAAATGAACTAGAACCACGCGCGCGCTTCGCCCGCGCTTAGGTTCTGTCGAGTCACCGACCCAGGAATCGTTGTGAGAAGAAATTTGACGTCTGGGGTCTCCTGGGGCCTCTTGAGGGGCCTCCTGGGGGCCTCGTGGCGGCCTCTTGGGGCGGAAGGCTCGAGCTTGCGGTTCGTGGTCCCCCTCTGGGCCCCCTCTTGGGCCCGTCTTGGGGCCCTCTTGGGCCATCTTGGGCGCCTCTTGGGCCGTCTTGGGGCCCTCTTGGGCTGTCCTGGGGCCCTCTTGGAAGCTTCTTGGGCCGTCTTGGGGCGGTCTTGGGCGCCTCTTGGGCCGTCCTGTAACGTCGGAAAGCCCAAAAGACAACTTTGTTGAAAATGTACGTTTTACGAAGGGAATGGGCCAATTTTGCGTCTAGGGGCCCTCTTGGGACGCATGTTGGAGGCTTCTTGGGGCCTCTTGGGGGCGTCCTTGGACGTCTGGGGTCTCCTGGGGCCTCTTGAGGGGCCTCCTGGGGGCCTCCTGGCGGCCTCTTGGGGCGGAAGGCTCGAGCTTGCGGTTCGTGGTCCCCCTCTGGGCCCCCTCTTGGGCCCGTCTTGGGGCCCTCTTGGGCCATCTTGGGCGCCTCTTGGGCCGTCTTGGGGCCCTCTTGGGCTGTCCTGGGGCCCTCTTGGAAGCTTCTTGGGCCGTCTTGGGGCGGTCTTGGGCGCCTCTTGGGCCGTCCTGTAACGTCGGAAAGCCCAAAAGGCAACTTTGTTGAAAAATGTACGTTTTACAAAGGGAATGGGCCAATTTTTGCGTCTAGGGGCCCTCTTGGGACGCATGTTGGAGGCTTCTTGGGGCCTCTTGGGGGCGTCCTTGGACGTCTGGGGTCTCCTGGGGCCTCTTGAGGGGCCTCCTGGGGGCCTCCTGGCGGCCTCTTGGGGCGGAAGGCTCGAGCTTGCGGTTCGTGGTCCCCCTCTGGGCCCCCTCTTGGGCCCGTCTTGGGGCCCTCTTGGGCCATCTTGGGCGCCTCTTGGGCCGTCTTGGGGCCCTCTTGGGCTGTCCTGGGGCCCTCTTGGAAGCTTCTTGGGCCGTCTTGGGGCGGTCTTGGGCGCCTCTTGGGCCGTCCTGTAACGTCGGAAAGCCCAAAAGGCAACTTTGTTGAAAATGTACGTTTTACGAAGGGAATGGGCCAATTTTGCGTCTAGGGGCCCTCTTGGGACGCATGTTGGAGGCTTCTTGGGGCCTCTTGGGGGCGTCCTTGGACGTCTGGGGTCTCCTGGGGCCTCTTGAGGGGCCTCCTGGGGGCCTCCTGGCGGCCTCTTGGGGCGGAAGGCTCGAGCTTGCGGTTCGTGGTCCCCCTCTGGGCCCCCTCTTGGGCCCGTCTTGGGGCCCTCTTGGGCCATCTTGGGCGCCTCTTGGGCCGTCTTGGGGCCCTCTTGGGCTGTCCTGGGGCCCTCTTGGAAGCTTCTTGGGCCGTCTTGGGGCGGTCTTGGGCGCCTCTTGGGCCGTCCTGTAACGTCGGAAAGCCCAAAAGACAACTTTGTTGAAAATGTACGTTTTACGAAGGGAATGGGCCAATTTTTGCGTCTAGGGGCCCTCTTGGGACGCATGTTGGAGGCTTCTTGGGGCCTCTTGGGGGCGTCCTTGGACGTCTGGAGGCCATCTTCAGCATCTCGGAGCCCTCTTGGAGGCCTCTTGGAAGTTTCTTGGGCCGTCTTGGGCGCTCCTGGGGCCGTCTTGTCTGACCGGGGAGGCCTCCGGCAAGCCCCGACGAGCCTCCGGGCCCCCCGGAGCCCACATTTGCGGTCGAGGTCCCGGCCCCGGGCCCCCGGACCCGGTGCGCCGTTATATGTATATGAGGCCGTGCTCCAGTAAATGTCTGCGGATTGCAGTTGTTATGAGGGACGTGGTTCGTAGAACGTTCTCTCGCGAATCACTTGTGTTTTGCTTTGTTGGTTCGCGCACGACTAGCGTGCGTGGGCCGACGAGGCACAACAGACGGGGTTGAACACCAACCTCGAACAGTAAATCTGCTTTCTCTCAGCCTGTTCCCCCGCCGCCCTTTGGGACTCACAGGAACTATGTTCGTGCTCTTGTTCTGCGCGTTTTACCCCTTGACACCACATTTCTGCGTACTGAAGCGTACCGCATCCAATCCTTATCCTTTACGTATAGTTTCCTCCTCCTCCTGTTCCTCCTCCTCTTCCGTCATCCTCCTCCCCCTCCTCCTCCCGCACCATCCGTTTTCCCGCCCCTCTTCTGCCCTCCCTTATTTCCCCGAAGCCTGCTGGGAAAAGGAGCTCGAGGCCGAGGCGCTTCGGCTGCAGATCCAGCTGCGGGACCGGGTCATCGCGGACCAAAACAGGATGTTAGCCGAGGATCGCGACTTGGCCCCGTTCCAGAAGCCTGAGGCCCAGTGAGCGAGGGCGAGGAGGAACAGGATGATAATACGGAACGAGGAGGAGGAGGAGGAGGAGGAGGAGGAGGAGGAGGAGGAGGAGGAGCGAGGAGGAGGGGTGGAGGAAGAGTAGAAGGAGGAGTAGGACGAGGAGAAGGAGGAGGAGGAGGAGGAGGAGGAGGAGGAGGAGGAGGAGAAGGAGTTGACCCCGATGACCTGTCGTGCAGCAGAGGACTGAAGCACGGGCCATGACCTATGGGCCCTGCTGGGCACAAGCTAGCCAAGAGGCCTCCCCGACTTGGGGTGCTTGCCAGACTTTATCGCTTTGATATTATATCGCTGCCTATATCTGGCCTGGGGTTCCTGAGAGTGCCCTTGACGTTCCTCGTCCAGGTTACAATTGGCCGCCTGAAAAGACGTCTGAGCAGTGAGGACTGCGGGGTGAGAGGAGCGAGTGGTGAGAAGTGAAGCGCAGGAAGAGGAGTAGGAGTAGGAGGAAAAGAAGGAACAGGAGGAGGAAAAGGAATAGGGCAGGATGCTGCTGTTGATGATGATGGTGGTGATGGTGATGTTGATGACGATGACGATGATGATGATGATGATGATGATGATGATGATGGTGGTGGTGGTGGTGGTGATGATGATGATGATGACGACGACGATGATGATGATGATGATGATGATGATGATGATGATGATGATGATGATGATGATGATGATGATGATGATGACGACGACGACGACGACGATGATGATGATGATGATGGTGGTGGTGGTGGTGGTGATGGTGATGTTGATGATGATGCTGTTGCTGATGATGATGCTGATGCTGATGATGCTGCTGATGATGATGATGCTGATGCTGATGATGACGATGTTGATGATGCTGGTGAGGATGCTGATGCTGATGATGATGATGATGATGATGATGATGATGATGATGATGATGATGATGATGATGGTGGTGGTGGTGATGATGATGATGATGATTATGAGGTCCTGATGATGATGGTGGTGGTGGTGATGATGATATACATACATACATAGCGGGCCATAGACAGCGTCGTGAGGCTTAAAATTAATTCAGTCATGCTTGCGTGCACTCCTGCACGCAGCCGTCGCTTCGGAAGCAGCCACAGCAGACACATCATGCCTGGAGCAGGGCCGCACGGCAGTGCTTCGCACGATACTGCGCGTGGTCGAGCAGCTGGCGGTGCGAAGCAAAATCTCGCGAGCAAATCGGGCACACCGTTGCGTCTGGTGCCGGGACGGCTGCCACTGGCTTCCGGTACCCGTGGGCTCGCATCTTAGGCGTAGCCAGGGCCTTATTGGATGTGAAACGTTTGTCGCACTGCTCGCAGGCGTGCGTCAGCATGGCCTCCTCTGGGGGTTTGGCCTCCGTGCCCGCCCCAGCAGTGAAGTCGCGCACGACAGCTTTGAAATCGGCTGGCTGCCCCTGGGCCCAGGCAACCCACCTCTGCCATTTCGCGCGCGGATCGCCCATGGCATCCAGGCCGACAGTATTCGCTTGCGAGTGATCCCACTCGCGCATGCTACGCAGATCCTCTAGCACAAGCTTGGCCCAGGCAGACGGCCGCGGTCCATGCGCCTGCAGCGTGGCCAGCAGTGGCGGGAAAGGATGCTACAGAAGACAGAGCACGTAGCCCGAACGCCTGCGCCGCAAAGGATCCGCGATCGAGGGCCGCTGCAACTGCTTCAGTAGTTCGAAGTCTGTGCGCTAGGCCCTGCCTGGTATCGGAGCCCACGGCTCGCGCATGATTCCGCGGATGGCCCGCATGTAGAACGTGTGCAGCTTTCCTATGTGCACCGGCGTCGGCACCCACAGCTCACCGTTGTACAGCAAGACCGACAGCACCAACGATATGAAGAGTCGCAGCCTCAAGTTCCGCGATACCTGTTGCATCGCTAGTGCATTTTCACCATGGCGTGGTACACTCCGGATGCACGCTTCAAGCGCGCTTAGATGTCTAGCGCCGAGGTGGGCACCGCCGATGCCATAGAGCCGAGGTGATGTGAAATTGACCATAACGATGATGGCGATGATGATGATGATGATGATGATGATGATGATGATGATGATGATGATGATGATGATGATGATGATGATGATGATGATGATGATGATGATGATGATGATGATGATGATGATGATGATGATGATGATGATGATGATGATGATGATGACGATGATGATGATGATGATGATGATGATGGTGGTGGTGATGACGATGATGATTATTGTGATGATGATGGTGATCATGTTCATGATGAGGATGCTGATGATGATGATGGCGATGATGATGCTGATGATGATGCTGCTGATGATGATCAGGATGCTGATGATGATGATGGTGGCGATGATGACGATGACGGTTAGGATGATGGTAATGATGATGAGGATGAGGATGCGGATGAGGATGATAATGCGGATGATTCTAAGGATGATGATGATTTTGATGATGATGATGATGATGAGGAGGAGGAGTATCAGGATGAGGATGAGGAAGATGATGTTGATGATGATGGTGATGATGCTGCTGCTGATGATGATGTTGATGACGATGAATATGCTGATGATGACGCTGATGATGATGCTGATGATGATGATGTTGCTGATGATGATGATGAATGATTGTGGTGAAGATGATGATGATGATGATGATGATGATGATGATGATGATGATGATGATGATGATGATGATGATGATGATGATGATGATGATGATGATGCTGATGATGATGATGATGATGATGATGATGATGATGATGATGCTGATGATGATGATGATGATGATGATGATGATGATGATGATGATGATGATGATGATGATGATGATGATGATGATGATGATGATGATGATGATGATGATGATGATGATGATGATGATGATGATGATGATGATGATGATGATGATGATGATGATGTTGATCCTCGCGCCTGATTGCAACCCTGCGAGGGGTGCTGGCGGGGCACGCTCGCTCGTCGCAGGCATTCTTGATCCTCAGACCCGCCTGGCGCCACGAGCAAAGGCACAGCACAGGACGGCGCGAGCCCAAGAGGGGCGGGAGGGAGCAAACCCTGGCGCGTGCCGGGCCCCGAAGGGTACAGCCTGCGCCACGGGCTCCCTCCCCCCTCCGAGTGCTCGCTCGCTCGCCGCAGGCATTCGGGATCCTCGGACCCGCCCCTGGCATCGCTCGGACGTGTGCATTTTTCGTTCGGCGAGGACCATCGAGGAGCATCCTTGATCATTTGGCGAAAAAGCCACGCACGAAACCGAAAAGAGCACAGGGAGTGGACGTCCGAGCGATGGCCAGCGCCTGGCACCACGAGCAGAGGCGGCGGAGCCCGCCAGGGGCTCCGCCCAGACCACCAGGCCCCTCCCCACACTCGAGCGGCACCGCGCAGCGGACCAGCCACTGGAGTGCAGCGCCGAGCGACGCGGCGCGGCCGTGCCCTGCGGCAGACTTTTTGATCTGCGGGTCGGGAGCGGGCCCCCTCCGGTCGGGAGCTAAACGGGACGCGAGTAGCCCTAATTGGGGAGACAGGGCGTGGGCGGGCGGGGCCTCCGGCGGCCGGAGGGCTCAGAATGCAGGCGGTGCCGAAGATCTTGCACAGGACAAGGTACGCCTTGGACTGGAGCAGGGGGCGCGGTCCCACCCTGCGGCACACAGGGGCGGACAGAAGATGGCTGAAGATCGCCAT